CCCCACCCTGCACAGACCCCGATCCCGGCGGGGACAAAGGGCCCGAGACCACCTCCCCCGCTCGCTGCCAGCCCGCCTTCTCGCGGCCGGTCCTGCTGTCCTGCTGGCTGCTCTCTGCATCCCTCTGTCCGCCCGTCTCTGGGTCCCCCTACCCTTGTCCGTCCTCTGTCTCAGGCGCCAAGTGCTGTCTCCCACCCGCCCTGTGGCTCCCAATCTACCCTATCACTCCCTATCATTGTCTCCCACCTCTGTGCCCTTTGACTGGGTCACTCTGTGCCCCCTGCAGCCTCCCCGCTACCCCCTGGATGACTGCCCTCCCTCTCTGCCCCTGCCTTGCTCTCACTCTTGTCTCTGCGCCTTTCTCCCTGTCCCCCATCTGCCCCATCCCCGTCTCCCTGTCGCTGCCTTTGTGTCACCCCCCTGCTTCTCCAGCATCCTCTGTGCCCCACCGGCCCGTCTGCCCCCATCTCTCTGCCTCCTCTGTCTCTCTCTCACTCCCCTTATAATCACCTCCATCCCAGGACTGTTGTCCCCATCCTGCATTATCTCCTCCATGCCTCTCTCCTGTGCCTTGGGAGATGAACTGAGTTTGGCAGGGTATCCAAAAGAGAGGGGGGGCTTGTAAATGTGGGGGGCTTGTGCATAGGGAACCCTGGCATGTAGGCACACACGTGGATTCGGAAAATGCCTCCCAAACCCTGTGGCCCACCGCCACCCATCCGTTCACACACCCAGGCCCCAGGTCCCAAGAGGAGCCCCCTCAGGCACTGGATACCCACTGAGCCAGCCACACACGGATACCCCCCACCATACACTGTGAGGAGCTGTAGACCCCCCACAGTGGGGTGACCCTGGGACTGGGACAAGGTCAGGAAATGTCACCAACCCCTTCCTTCCCTGCCTTGAATCTGCCGAGGGTCATTCCCTTCCTGGCAGGAGGGGCCAAGGCCACTCTTAGGGAGCGATGGAGGTCCAGGAGGTGGCAAGAGCGGGAGAGGTAGATGTTTCGTAGAGATTTGGGAGAGAGGAGTGTGGCCAAGCTGGCACAGGGCTGGGGGCCAGGGTTTGAATCCTGGCTCTTGCCTGTGGGCCGCAGCAGCCACAGCCAAGCCCTTGCCTCTCTGTGGGACCTGGGTTTCCATTTCTGTAAAATGAGACTGTTGAACTCTCTGACCAGTGAGAGAGAACTCCAGCCTGGACCCTTGTGCGCAGGTTGTGTGTGTGTGTGTGTGTGTGTGTGTGTGTGTGTGTGTGTGTGTTTCTGGCAAGTTAGGTAGTGTGATCTGGGATGGAGCCTTCGCTCTCACACCAGGCAAAGGACAAAACTGACCTGTCACCCCTCTCTCCAGTCCTCCCCCCTCCAGTCTAATGCCATTGCTTCAGAACTGTCATCCTTACCTGCTTTCTTTGAGACAGATGGACCACCATTTCCCAGATGAGAGCCTCACTTAGCTACATTCCCATTGAATTGTTCTTGCTTTCGTCTGGTGTGCGTGTGTGCGTGCGCGTGTTTTAAGGCCTTGAAAAATCAGGCTGATAGAATCCTGCCTCAGAGACACCGAGTCAACACAGACCTGGAGAGGATGTCTGGCCTGTGACATCTCTTAGCAATGTAGTATCCCTACCACCGGTTCAGAAGTCTTGAACCCTTATTGGGGTCTGCATCCTAGCACTTCAGCCTTGTTTCTGCATTCCGGACTCCTGACCTCGCGAGTTCTTGATGTGTAAGGTCTTGGTGACTGAGCATAGTGGGGACTTGGTTGTTCACAGTCAGATAGGGCCCGTGGCTGAGATCTTTCTCTTACCCCAGCCCTCCTGGACAATCCCTTTATAGCCTTGTTGTTCTCTCGTTTGTGTTTGAAAGGCACTGCTCCCTGGCACCCTAACCTACCCTAAATTACAGTGTGTGGGGCTTTACAAGTTGGAAAAGAGCTTGGGAAGGAGCGAGGCATTATGGGAAGATAGGGCACCCTCGTCCCCAGGCTCACCCAGCCTTCCCCTGTAAGGTCCTGTGCTAATCCTGCCCTTCTCTGAGCCTCACTGTCCCCTTCTGTAAAGCTAGGTGGCTGTCAGGAGCTGGAGCACATGATCCCAGAGGCACCCACCTGCTTCCCTGGCCACTGGATAGTCCCAAGTGGCCTTAGTCCCAAGATGGCAGTGGCTACTGGCGGTCCCCATGTGTCTGCTTGGGGAGCCCTGGTGGCGTGGTGGGTTATGCGTCCGGCTGCTCGCCGCAAGGTCAGACGTTCGAAACCACCAGCCGCCCCTTGGGAGAAAGATGAGACTTTCTACTTCCAGTCTCAGAAACCCACAGGGGGCCCTGCTGCTGGACTCTGCCCTTCAGGGTCACCATGAGCTGGAATCCGTGGCAGGGAGTCTGTTTTGTGTGTTTCTCTGTGCTCCCTGCTCTCTTACCTTACCCAGGCCGGCTGA